TCATTTATTTTAAATTTAAGTTTCTTTACCCAAACTTCCTTCTTAAAATTAAGGCACGTGTTATTCGCCTGTACATGTTATACGCCGATAAATACGGTAGTTTTCTTGGTAATGATATGATAGTGGTTTGTTGATGTCTTCTTCTACTACTTTTTTCCAACTTCCCAGACTGGTGTAGATTCTTGGGATTTCTTGGTGGCCTGCCACCCAAATATTAACAAGGTAATTCTTCAGGATTGGCTATGTGCTGCCACCTGCTGGGCCTTAAAAGAGATTCTTCTAATGATTTTTCCTAATGCAGGGGCTTTCTCTTACAGAATCTTCAAAATTGTTATGAATATTTAAAATGCTACTATATTTATGTATAAATGACAAAAATGTCAATTATGCAGATAGTGATATTTCTATCAACCATTACTTCAACAATAGCTGAGTATCCATAAATAAAGTTAAATAAGGAGTGATAGGATAAGAGAACAGCTTAGGTTAAGTTAATAGCTGGTTAAAGAGAAATAAATGGACAGTTCTCACATAGGGGATGTGAGAAGGAGGGACTCCTCCCAAATCTATTTATTGGAATTCTGCTTTTTAAACTAAAGGATGTACATTTTACAATTTTCCATCAATTCCATATTTCTCATTCTTAATGAATAAACAATGTAATGCTGAAGGACACAATTACTTCAACATATGAGAATACTTTTCCCAAATTTCACATATTTATGCTTTTGGATTTTCTTGTTTTTTTTTTAAGTAATCATTCCATAGATTTTTTCTCCAGTGGTTTCTTTTTACTTCATAATATAAGCTGTGACAGAAAAACTGAGCCTACAGGAGCCCCACTGAACATATTCTCCATTTCATTCTCACTTTAAAATGAAATATTTGGTAAGAGTAAGTAAAATACCATCACACAAATTCTGTAAAATTGTAATTTATTCCCCACCCAAATATCCAGGATATTCCTTCAATAGCAAATTAACAAAATTATGCTCATTTGAGGAGAAAGGTAAGACAATCATACCACCAGATTACACCAATGGAAAAACTAGAAGTCCTGTTTAATTGGATAGTGCAAGTTAACAGCATGTTGCTGGTAATGACAACACTTTCATTTGTTTAGAAAAGTTTTACATCGATTTGCAGCAAGATAAACTTTGGAAAGATGCTGTCCAAAATGGCCCACACATATTTACAAACCCCAGGGAGCACAGAAAAACAAGATATTATTTAAAATAAAAACAAACAGAATTTAAGAAAATATAGGTTTCCTATTTCCACCCCACAGGAGTCACAACTGCTGACTGAATGCTGTTTTCAAGTCTTCAGAGTTCATCTTTTTCCCGCAATAAGGTGTACCTATGTCCACTAGGTGCTAGCTTCTGGAATGAACTCTCCGGTGGGCTGCTTACTATGTCCTGGAGTGGCTGAAAAGAACAAAACAATCTTCTAGAACAAGTGATAAACATTAAAGGTAAAAGAGTCAGACACAACACCAATTAACTGTGGCACACTTAGCAACAAATATTGTTGCTAAGTGTGAGCCAGATCAACCAATTCTTGCCTTAGGCAAGCCACCTTCTCTGATGCTTCCTCTGTTATCTGCAACATACAACACTCAAGATAGCAGGTTGGTGAAAGAGTTTCAGAGAAGGTATGTGTATCCTGTTTAAACACAAAAGCCACATCCTTACAAATGACCTCTTCTGTACTTTCAAGTTAGTCTTTAAAAAAATCTTCCTGAAATTGTTCTGAAACTAGTGTACCACCATGCCTGTTCTGAACAGACAAAACTTGACAAGTGGGACATTCAAACTTACTATACAATTAGTTCTGCTTTGGTATAACAGGAAGCATAAAAATGGGTTAAATCCAGGGAAGACAAAGATCACATGATTAAAAATTCACTTTAATGTTTTGATACCTCTGACTCATCCCATGTTTTATATCTCATAACTCAGCTTGAAACAAGATAAATATAAGAGTTTTGCAGAAGGAAAAAAACTATGTATAACAAATAAAGAAAAAAGAGTTATTTCTGAATAGTGTTGCAATAAGTGAATCTGAAGAATAGAGTAACCTGCAATTCCTGGGGATGCAAAAAATCCACTGTCAGAGCACCATGCAATTTGGGAGGCCTTAAATATCAACTGATTGAGGTGTACCAGCAAACCACCATTGTCACTGAAGGGGGCCTATAACAGCCCTGACGACAGTGTCATATAGGACTACTTTATGTGAGCCAGGTTATGCTGTCTGCATCCAGTGTAAACCTTAGGTCAGAAAAGGCAAGAACACAAAAGGTCTTTCAATGTCAATGCTGCTGAAGTATCTGCCCAAGCATCATACACATGTCCTTAGAGTTAGCAACAGCACCATTACACAAACCAAGTCACTGACTAGCAGCAAGGATCCAGGACATTTGAAATGGGAAAGGCAAGGTGGTCCAGAACTATTGATTCCATGTGCTATCCCCCAGATTATGGTTTCAGATGACCAGGCATTCAGCACAGTAAAAGATGCCAGCTTCCATTAATTCCTTGAATTGTTTGCTCCCAAGTACAGAATCCTCTCAAGTACCATCTTAAACAAGAGTTGCAAAGTGGAAATGTTAGTATGGCAGCAAGCAGCAAGATTTGACACCACCATGCAATTCTCCTTGGATATTTAGTTAGGCAAGGCATCTGCCACTATTGCTAGCAGCGATGCTGCTGCAGCAGAATCCATGTATAGCTGCACGCTGGGCTGGACTTGAGCCATAAGGTAAATATAGTGCAAAAGGCTGGTAACTAGTTATCAGGGCAGGCAAACCTGAAATGCAATTTCATAGTCAACTGACAGTGGCACTCTAATTTAAGCTGCTACTTGAACAAAGAGGGGGCACAATACATCAGGAATTAAACTGATTTGGAATCTCTTTAGTTACTGGTAATACTTGAGTTTAATAGCCTCTTATAACAATAATAGTTCAGTAACTCTCCAACTATTCAATCTGGGAGTTCCTCTGTTTAGGCATACAATTATTGGATTATGATCCACATAAGTAAGAGCTACCACCTCCGTGTCTATGAAGTTGATTAACAATGAATTAGAAATCCAACACATGTCTATCCTTAAATTAATTTTATGAACTGAAGAGTAGTAGACATATTCTTTCTCAGCAGGATGTTTATATCTCCACACATCCAAGAGAGATAACAATGACATAAAGTGCAGATTAAGTGCAAATTTCAATCCTACTCTTCACAACTGCCTCACGGAACACAATGTCTTCTTAGCTGGAGAAGACAGAGCCAAAAGAGGGCTTGATTAATATTCTCTTTTCTTTTTCCCCAGTTGGTTTTTTACCATATTCACTGAGTGAATGGTATTCTGAAACTTTTTTTCCCCTTCTTTTTATTGTGAATATACTGGAAGAAGATTTTTGTTTCTTTAGGCATCCTTTGTCAATAGTAACTCATTCTGATTTTTAGCTTTTTGGACACCACCTGTACAATTCCAAGCTAACTTTTCCTTTCCACTTCCATGTGTGCCTTTTTTGTTTTCAGATCTTCACTGAACTTTTTATGTGACCAACAGTCTTCTGCTGTTTTCCATTTTTCTCAATAGCTTCTCCTGCCAGAGAATCCAATTTAACATTGCTCTGAGTTTATTAAAATCCACCTTCTTGAAGTCCAAGTGGATTCTAAACCGCTAGTTTGGCACACAGATGTTATAAGCAGAAAAGGAAACTAGAGCAAAAGAACCATCTAAGACAACCCTGCCCCCCCAGTTTGCTTATTTGCTTATTATTTCAAGTGATACCTTACATTTCTACCCATAGGGCATTCAAGGTTACCCTGTACTTTCAGAATACAGTGCTGCTAATATGAGTTAGCTCAGGAAGAAATCTGTATGAAGCTGTCTGAGAAATCAAGTCTGGTGTTTGCTGGCACTCAGAGTTGCTAATCGGACATGTGATGGTTGCCATGGCTAGTGAGAATGGGTTTCCTGAGACCCTGTATCAAACTGGGCTCCAAAGAAGTCCTTAGAGCCAGGTGGAAGAAAAGCAAGTGGAAAGGCTATTTGGAAGACATCTTGATGTTGTCTTAATACAATGCTGCTAGCTTTTAACTGACTAGATATGGATGCCAGGGTGGATTTTTGTTCTGCAAGCTTTGAATGAGCTTTCTTCCATTTTAGAGCTATGACAAGCAATGAGGAGAAAGCAATAACACAGAAGGTCAATTGTTTTTAAATCTAAGTGGGGAGCTAGAAGCACATCTTTGAGGAGAGACAGATTTTGTTCTAGGCAAAAAGCAAGGTAGATCTGACAGGAACCAGCGGATACATGTATTTAAATAAATATGTTAGATACATGTACTGTATGCCTTTCCTCCATGAGTTCAAGATGACATACACAGCATTTCCTTCTCCAGTGTTTCCCTATACCAACTCAGTGATATAAACTGGATTAAGAAATAGTGACGGGATCAAAATCATACAGTGAATTATATAATTAAAGATGAACTTGAAACAGTTCCCATAGTCCCTGTCCAATATCTGAACACTATACTGGCTCTCTTGGCCTATGGCTGGATGCTTCCTCACATCCTCAGGATGCTTCCTGAGATTTTTTTTTACCATGCTGATTATTACTATTTTTAAACATCAAAAGAACATAAGATTTAACTACTTTGACTCAGGACAGAAATAATCTAAACATTTTGATTCTCTGCAAAGCTGCATCTTTAAATATTTCTAATTATAAATTATTTACAACTAAGAGAAATTAAGGTTAAACACTTAGATTCATTATGGATATAGCAACAATTTAAGATGTTCTTATATTCATATGAAAAATGAAAGTAGTCATATTGCCCATGGTTGTAGTGATGATGGTGGGGCAAATCCAAATCCATACAGACTATCGTTTTATGAGGTCAACTGAAGGTTTCAAAGTAGTTGGAATTTTTCCCTGATAAAAAAAATCAAGGAAAAAGGAGGAAGGAGGTAAGATTGTGGAAGAATAGGAGGAGGTATTATTGGAAGAATCTGCTGACATGGAAGTTAAATCCTATCAGGAATCGAAGTGGCATTGAGTTACATCAAGAATTATTTCAAATCTTGTTGAAAAAATAAAGCAAGCAAATAACTCTTTGCCCTTAATTATTAGGAGTTGTGCAGTGCTTTGGACTTGAAAGCTATAAGTGTGTGGAAGAACTTGAAATTGCTCACATAGATTCTGTCAGCAACTCCTTAAAGGAGCTGTCTGTCACAGCTGCAAAGTAATCCTGGGTCTACAGGCATGCCCACTCATACTCCAAAACACTGCACAGCTATACTAACGTTTCTTTCTAAGCTGCCTAATCAGTCGTATCCTGCTCTATTTTTGAAATTTCTCCAGATTTCACTGGAGAAGTAGAATCTTAACCTTATTGGGACACTGCAAAATTCCAATCTTCACTTAATGTAGATGTACTGGAATGCTTTCTTTCTTACCTGACCAGGTGCTACATCTGTTGGATCTGGACCATGATGAAACTCTCTGTGCAATTTCCCAGAGTGTAAATCTAGTACAAATTGTTTGAGTTTACCAGGAACACTGAAACAATATATCCACATTTTAAATAACATTAAACAACGTTATCTTAGACACCATAAGATCCAACTCAAAGTGTCATATACTAAAGATTAGATATTAAAAAAAATCTAATGTCAATCACCATTCAATTACCATTGTTATCATAAGAACTACAGTAGCAGATACATACATAATTAAGCCTAGAGTAGGCTCAATTAAAGATGATTGCAATAATAAAATATAGTGTGTGTTAGGGTATCAAGATAAAAAGTAATTCTAAGGATGATTTTCTTTACAAATTGTCAGGGAAATCAAGCCAACATTCTTTAAATCTGAATATGGCTTTCAGTTTACAAGTTATTTAAAAGCAGGCAAAGAGAGAGAATAGTGTCCTTCCCTTGGAAGGCTATTCCATAGCTTAAGTGGGCATCTAAAAAGACTCCCTCTTTTGCTGTCATCCTTTTTGAAATAATGAACTCAGGGTGTCTTTCAAGCAGATTCATATAGTCTTCTTCCTTTAAGAATATTTTAATCCCATTCTCTCCTCACCTGGGCTCCCATTTTATATATAATAATTTTTTTAAAAAATTTGCAATTGTTTGTTTTCCATTGCAGTAATTAAACCACAAGGAGTTGAAGTTAGGTAGTGATTAGAAAAGCTAGCAATATCATCTCCTTAAAAATAGAAGGCAGCAGACACTTGTCTCTACACTGAATTCAAAAGATTATCTCAAAACTTTAAAAAATCTGAATCTTACTTATTTCATATTAACTGTCTTTCACATATCCAAGATATTTTTAAAGTTAATAATGCAGGATCAGGAGCTGGAATACAGCTGGGAGGCAAACTACCCTATCTCTTTTTTCTTTTTGCGATCCCCTGAAGGCACAGCAAGCATTTTGCCTCTTCATTAATTCCCATAGAGCTGCCCAATAATTTCATTGCCTGCTACCTTCAACCCCCTGCTCACCACAATACAGCAGAGAACAGTAGGTGCCAAATGCACAGTTTACAAATACAAATGGCTGTCAGTAAGTTATATTGACAAAAATGCTTTTGAAAGCTTCTCTAGTGCTTAAGTAATTGCAAGCACCAGAAATGAACGCTAAAAGGACATCAATTTAAATTTCTTCTGAGATAATCTACCTTTTCCACATACAAAAAACTATGTGAAGATAGAATTGGAACTACCAGAACTCCAAGAATAAAGAACTCAACTAGTACATTAAGTATAAAGAAACAGAAATTAACTTAGACAATCTATCACCAAACAGGTCCACAGACACCTTCTTTGGGAGCTGCCTCAGTGTAGTCTTTTCAAACAATGTTAAATAGGAAATGGCATGCTCAAAGTTCAGCACCAACCTCCCAAATCATCTTTATTTTAAAAAAATATCTTCTGTAAAGCTTTAAAGCCATTCTTACAAAATAAATATGGTAGCTGGCTTCAACCTACCGCTTCGTTTGGAAATCTGCCCAGAAAAATAACTATGAAGATGATGGAATAGTACAGATGAGATGGGAGTATGTTTTGAGAGACTAAAGGTGGGGGATCAGGAGAGGCTGGAAGCAGCTTCAAGTGATTCTCTTCTGGGAAACTCAAGTTTTGTGACTGGGCAACCCTGACAGCCTTAGGACATTTTCTAACCATTAAACAATTATCCTCATTCACTGATATGTTCATTTGCAGATGAATGCAGAATTGTGTTCCACAATTAATGGTTAAGATACTGAAGGTTCTTATTTTCTGAAGTCATCTAAATAGGCAAGATCACAAAATGATCTTGCATGGCAAATCACATCCCAGAGACTGCTCCATTTTGCAGCATAGTCAAGGAAAAAATAGAATGATTAACTATCAGGTAACCACAACTAATACAACTATTACAATCGTATCTGCATGTGCTGTTCTACATCGTTAAGTGCCCTAATAGTCCTAATAAAATTTTTTAAAAAGTATATTTGATCCTAAAATTAATCATGAGGGTTCATGATATTGTGCCACAACCCATTAAAAGGGATTTCCATAAACCTTAAGTCAGTAGGCAAATGTACAGTATAATAAACCCCTTTATATGTGGCAGTTTCTCTCTTCTCTCCTCTAAATATGTCCAAACATTCATTCATTCATTCACATGCTATTTTAAAGGAGTCCACATTTACACTCAATAAATACATTTCGTTCTTTTCCATTAAAAAAACCCTATTAAAATTTATGGGTCCACACTTTCAGAGCCTTGTGTCCCCACTGGTGACGATTTGATGGAGCACAATGAAATGCTGGATAGAGAGATTAGAGGAATGGGAAAGCTGCACAGCCATTTTATATGCATATAAATAATTTGAAAATACATGTCTACATCTCAGGATATGTGGTCTTCAGTTTTATATATGATAACCAAAAACGTAAATAGGAGAAGACTGAAGGGAGATATGATAGCAGTCTTCAGATACTTGAAGGGCTTAAGTAATCTACCCCAGGTCATATGGGAGAAGCTGTCAAAGTCTGACCCAAGCTCTGGAGACTGTGATGGTCTAGATCAGACAAAAGCAGGATGAAATTGAATCAAAGAAAGACAGAGTTGCTGTCTGTTCACTGGGGTTCTTTGAGGTCTCCAGTGTTGACTCTTGATGGGTGGCATGCCCTTGAAAGAGCAGGCCCACAACTTGTCGAATCAACCTGGACTTACAGCTACTGCTAGACAGACAGTTAGGGTGCCATGGCCAGAGGGGAACTTGAAGCGCTTAAGTAATGTGCTGGTGTGTCAACTGTGGTTCTACCTGGAGCAAAAGGATACTGACAGTAACTCATGTCCCCATCACCACCCATTTGGACTATTGCAATGCACTCTATATGGAACCTCTATATGGGACTGCCTTTGAAGACTATGAGAAAACCATCCAAAATATGGTGGCACAATGCTCACCAGCACATCCTGGTATAAGGACCTAAGACCTTTGCTTCAATTTCAGAGTGCAATTCAAAGTGCTGGTTCAACTTGTAAAGCACTACATGATTTGGCACTGCAATATTGCAGGACTGCCTCTTTTAAGGTTGGCAGTAGAGGTGGAGTTCCCCAGACTTATGGTCTTGGGGGTACTTCAATCTACTTTCCCTGGGAGTGGGGTCTGAAGCAGCTCGGGAGTTCATGGCTACCATGAGAGCCATGGGCCTACCCCAGGTCATCCAGGGCCTGACACAGGACAGTGGTCACACACCTGATCTGGTTTTCCTATTGGAGCAGTGGCAATGTGATCTGGAATTGGGAGAGCTTTTAGTGTTCCCCTTGTCATGGTCAGATCACACACTGGGGGATTTCTGGTGCCACTATTGACTGCAGGGAAGCTGGACCTATTAGATCAGCCTGGCCTTGGCGACTGATGGATCCTGATGGGTTTCAGAGGGAGCTGAGGGGGTTTCTTGTTCGTCTGTTGTGCAGTTCATCTGAAGCCTTGGTGGCCACTTGGAACATGAGGACTACCAATGCCTTGGATCCCACCATGTGACCTCTCTACTTTCGTGGATCCAGTCACTCTCCGTGTCTCATCAAAGAACTGAGGGAGATGAAATGAGAGAAGAGACATCTAGAGCATCACCGGCGCTCAACGAGGGATGAACTTGACCGGATATGGGTTAGAGCCACTATTAAGGCCTACCTCGTGGTGGTAAGGGTTACAAAGCAACAATATTTCTCTGCCCTTATTGTGTCCACAGATAGCCATCCTGCAGCCTTGTTTCGGGTGATATGTGCCCTTTTGGGTACAGGGGGCTTGGAGATCCCCTTAAAAGGCTGTGCATAATTTACTCAGCGTGATGGTTAAAATAGCTTGAATTAGTTCTCAATTGGACACCAGCCTTGTTGCGGGTCCTATGGAGATGCCTGGGGCGAAGTCTTGCCCTGTTAGCTGGGAACGGTTTGAATCTGTTGACCCTGAGGAGGTGGACAGGGTCCTTATGACTGTGAGCTTGGCCACCTGCTCTTTAGATCCATGCCCCTCCTAACTAAGGCTGCCCAGGGGGTTTTGTGTGGGTGGGCTCTAGCAGTGGTAAACTCTTCCTTGCATGAAGGGGTTGTTCCTCCACTCCTTAAGGAGGTGTTGATTGCCAGTTTGCTTCTGGGTCCAATTCAAGGTGCTGATTTTGATCTTTAAAGCCCTTTATGGCATGGGGCCAGGTCATCTGAGGGACCACCTCTTTCTAATTACATCATCCCATCCCATCAGGTCCGGCAGAAGAAGTATGTTGCGGGTCCCATCTATGAAAGAGCTATGTTTGGCAGAACCCAGGAGGTGGGCCTTTTCTGACGTGGCACCCACCCTGTGGAACATCATTCCCCCCTGGGGGTGAGACTGGCCCCATTCTTAATATCTTTCCAGAAGTCCCCCAAAACATGGTTGTGTCAACAGGCTCAGGGATCTCCAGGAAATGGCAAATTAGTGAGGTGGCTGCATTGTCTATAACATCGAACCCTTTACTAGTCTGTTAATAGTAATATGGATTGATGCCTTTAATTGTAGAATTCTTTTTAATAGTATTTATTTTATGGTTTGTTTTTATTGTACGCTGCCCAGAATCATGCTTTGTGAGACGGGTGGCTATATAAATATGATGAAATAAATAAATAAATAGGTCTCAGCCCACCTGAAACTTATGACCTAGAAGAACCTTGTAGTAGTTGCACACTTCTATAAAGTGGGAGGAATGGGGGCTCACAAGCACTGTTTTACAGTTAGTGTGCCTGCACTTTGGAATAGTCTCCCCTTATGAATTTGATTTGTCCTACAGTGCTCACTTTCTGTAAGCTATTAAAAATAAAGCTCCTCAGAAAGTATTTGAGACATGAGTTGATACCATCAGTTACAGCACTATGCATGTTAAGATTTGTTTATTATGTTTTTTTTTGTTTTATTTTTAGCATGGACGTTTTATTACTTTGTACTGATGGAAGTTGTGGAGAATCTCCTTGATTGCAGCAGAGGTAAATCCACTAAATCTATAAAACATAGTGTAGTGATCACTACCCACATTCACTCACTTTCTTTCCTTAACATTCTTAAAAGAAGTAACAGGTAATGTAAGGATGATCTGAAGTGTGTAAGTGTGTGCAGTGGCTGTGCCCTATTCCCCACTGTCACTAAACCTCCCCCAAAACATTACCCCGAGGAAAACTTTCTCTCTATGAAAAAAATGTTCTCCAGACTTAATTTTTAGGATACAACACAATACAAAAAGGTCTTTACCCTCTTCCTTCCAAAATAATTTTTTCCCTTTTTTCAAACTCTATATAGCCAAAATGAAAAAAAACATGTACTCACGTCAAATCATTGAAGTCTGAAAAAACATACATATGTCTAAAACTATCAATAGCAATAACAGGACAATCTGTTGGACTCTTCTGAATGTGGAGCAGCGGATGCCTGAACTTGTCGCAATCAGCATGTAAAAAGTTTATTGTACCTTGAAATTCAGAAGCAGATTTTAGGGTTTTTAGAGAATATAAAATATGAGCATACAGGCAAATCACCACATTATATGTAAATACCTGGTCTGGGGTAAAGCATTTTGAATATACAAAAGGTGTTGATAAAATTATTTTGTGTTAACATCAGTAGGTTAAATATAAAACATGATGCCTCGGAAAAAAAGATTTAATTGTAGTATAGATTGATTTGCAATTGGATCTTCAAAGAACTTTTAAAAAGTTAACAGATTGTAATGGTTGACTTTCCAATAAATTTGCACAAGAATTAGCCTTAATTCATTTCAGTGGTAAAAGTATTTACCCATCATATTATGGCAATAAGAAAACACAGCATCAATAATTATCTCTCTTGTGCACACACACACCTAGAAAACTAACACAATTTTGCCAATTCAGTCTAAACACCTGATGCAAATTCAATTAATTATAAGACACAACACAACACCTACCCTTTTCACTTATTAACTGTCGTGCAACTTCCTGCTGGAACTTTTCTAAACTTTCTGTATCATCTTTCATATGAAAGAGTATAAGGAAAGGAAGGCCCTCTTCTGTCAATTCCTAGGTAGAAATAAAAATATTCATAGACTCTCAGTTTTCTACTAGCTTTTAGTTAACATATGGTTTTTAACTGGATGCTCATATACTTTTAATGAGGAATTAAATTATGAGAGATAAGCCAGAAATTTGTCCAGTAACTATATCAGGAACTTAAAGTAATACTAAGATACCTCACCAATTTAATCAAAAATTTTTATACTGAACAACTCAAAAGAAATAGTAAACAATTAATTCAAAATTCCTGACAGCACTGACCAAAAATAATTCTACATATTTATTGATTACTGTTAGCTTCCCCAAAGATATAAAATTATGTGTCCTATAGATAGATATCTCCAATAAGAATTCCACCCCCAACCCCCCTCAACTGACAAAAAATATCCCAAACTGGCCTCCCAAACTGTTTCAGGTGGTCCTCACTTGCGACTGCTTGAAATTACGACAGTGCTGAAAAAAATAACTTTATGACCAATGCCTGCATTCACAATCTTTGCAGTGTCCTCAGTCACATGATCACCATTACAGTCAGTGCGTGTTGTTCTGTGCCTGACCTGTTCCCCCCCCGACCTTCAGAGCAGACAGATTGGAGAGGAAGAGATTACAAGAGAGTAAGCAGGCACACAAAAGGGAATACACATTGAAAGCATTGGCACTGGGAAGCACACTACAGAAACAGCCCTATATATTTTCCATTGTGTGCCTGCTTGCTCTCTTGTAATCCCTTCCTCTCCAATGAATGTAAAAACAAACATTAATTCCCTTCTTGTTCATTATCCCAGTGCCAGGATGAACATTCCAAAGGGTGGGGGAGTGGAGAAAAGGAAAGCAGAGTCAGTCACATGATTTCCCACTTAATGACCACTTCCCTTAATGACAGAGTTGCCAGTCTCAATTGCAGTCACTAAACAAGGACTACCTATATTAGCTTCCCACTCCCACCTTCAACTTCTCCCTCCAAAAACCAAAAATGTAGGCCATGCTTCCTTTAATGCTGATATCTGCTCAGCTACTGGCCTCCTGCGATATTCTGGAGAGGCAGCTGGTTCTCCAGCTGTAACTCAGCATGTCAGTTTCATATGAAGAAGCTGAACAATAAATATATCCAGAGTGAATTAAAACTATGAAATAAAACACAGTTTAGTTCTTAGGTAAAAGAGACTGTTTTTAAAATACCAGCTGTAAATCATTAACTGAGCATTGAAATGTAGAAAAAAAATGAAATGATGAAAATACTAGGGTTGAACTGATATAGGAAGCCTTAAACCTCAAGAATAAAATTTACCAAGAAAAATGTACATTGAGAAACATTAGTTTAAATAAAAGAGGAACACAATATCAGATGCAGTTGCACAGTATTACACAAATGTAGTATGTTTTTTAAGTCTGAAATTCTGAAAAATGCTCAAAAATTAATCATAACTGGTTGGCATCTTTTACATTGCAAAAAGCAAATAAAGAACATTTATTTGTCACCATTTTGTTCAGCATTTACACTGCTGTTCAAACATGGCAAAAGCAGCCTTTCTATGTGTACGACCAATAAGTATCCACACTGGACTTCCAGTTATAATAGACATCATCATCATATTGCTCAATACTTTTATCTACCTACTTGTGTGAAGGAATTTTCTATTTTTAAGCTCATGTTGTAATTTTTATTAGTTGACAATTTAGGTAAGAAATGATAGTCTGGAAATATACTGGAAAGTACCGTATGTACTTGCGGATAAGCCAAGAATTTTAGGTTCCAACATACACCCCAAAAAATGGATTTGGCTTATCCACGGATGGGCTTATCCAAGAGTATATGTGGTAATACTTTTTAAAAGTACCTGTATATACTCATGGATAAGCCAAACCAAAATACCATGAAAAACGTGTCACTTGTGGATAAGCCAATTGTGCAAATTTAAAATGTAATCTGTTCTGATAAACAACATTTATTGATACAAAATATGAAACAACTGAAGTCCTTCAGAATATATTGAAAAAATATATGAAAATGTTGAGGGGTGGCTTATCCACAGGTGGCACATTTTTTATGGTATTTTGGTTAAAAATTTGAGGGTTGGCTTATCCTTGGATGGGCTTATCTGCAAGTATATACTGTAATCAGTTGCATTATAAACTAATTAAAGGTATTTGACACCTAATTTTGGGCTAATTCAACTTCATTTGTAACCTTTATCCCTTAAATAAAAGTCCTGAATAACCAGATATTCTTTACCTCTCCATTTTCAAATGTAATTTCACGAACAAGAGGAACACATTTGTCCTGAGTCCATGCATAAGCCAAGTCAAAATTAGTCATAGAACCCAAGTAAACCATGTCTGGAGCATTTTCCTGTTAAAACATGATTTTAAAATTATTAATAAATTAACACACAAGAAATGGTATAATTTAAGTGTAACTAAGAGGTCACATCACAAGGCACTGTACGGCATCCTGTCATAAACATCTAGCAGCAGCTTCTCATACTCTGGCCAGCAATAATCAATAGCACTATTTCAGTGGCTTGGAAACTCACAGCATCACTTAGTGTTAATACCTACATACTATAACAGGAGGGGGAAGGGCTCACCATGTCATGCTACTTAGAAACAAGTGCATTCAAAATCTAGGCTTCTTTAAATGATGCCATATGCAAATGAATTTAAAACACTGATATTATGTTAACACAGTATTAATTCTTTGTTTTGCTTTGTTTTTTTAATTCTTGTTATAGAAGTAAATACCCACGTTCAGGGGCTCGGATATTAGTTACTGGAGCTTTGGCATGAGTATATGTGGTAACTGGGAATTTTACTGTGGCCTATATTTAGTTTCTTTTGGGTTTTAATGCCATGCTTTTATTTTGCTCACCACCCAGTGTTTCTTGGACAGATGGGTAGCCATATAAATCAAATAAATAAATAATATCAAGACACTTTTGAACGATGAGCCCTCTGATTCTCACTGTATCTATTCAACATTGAGTAAAGGGTGATTAGTTGAAAAATATAAATAATTAGGGAACAGAAGTAAATTGACAGAGTATTTAGACAGTGGGGCATAGTCCTATGAATAGGTATTTAATTTCTTTTCTTATGAAGCCCTCATGACAAAATACAAATTTCTAGAGGCCCCCCAAAAGGAAGCTAGGCTTCTCTTGTTTTTATTTGTAGAAGAAATGGATACGGGACTTTCTGGATTAGGTTCTTAACTGTCAGCTAATCTGAGGGACTGAAACTGGTCTTTCTAGTTATGTCTAAGCATAAATAATTATCTGATTTGCATTCCAGAGATGTGAATTCATGCTTTTTCAAATCTGGGCACAAACTAAAGAGGTTTCATCCTTTTACAATATTATCCTAATATTATCTTAGATCAGTTGGACTAGAAATGTTTTGTTACTAACCTGCTATTAAATTAATGTTAAATTAAATTTAATTAAATGTTAAATGAATTAAAATTAGGTATAGCTATATAACTAACCTTAAGCTATTTCAGGGTGCGTGCTACACATTTTTCAAAATATTTCTTCCCTCAGAATGACAGAAATCCATACTGCTAATTCTTAGTGGTTGTGGTCAGAGGAACCAACAACAAAGGCCATGGCCTTTTGGGGTTTTTTTGCAGGCATGGTTTACCGTGCAGACAGGGATGATTCAATAAGCACTGTACACCTCAACTTTTAAAAAGCCTCTGACAAAGTCACTCACCGAAAGTATCTGAGGAAATTCAATAGTCATGTGTTCTCATGAACTGGAAACGGCTTAAAAAATCAGGAAGTAGAAAGAAATGGATTCCCTTGGGATTTTGCAATGGGAATACATTTTAACTAATTTAAAAGCATCCTGGAATTGAAAGGGAGGAATTCAAACTTGCCGTAAAACAAATTTATCAGGAAAATCAAGTCAGGCTTGCAAGGAGCAATGTCTTTAAACTAATCTCTTCAGGACCAATAAAAAAGTAGTGTTAATTTATTCAACACATATTTAAATTGTGGAATTTGCTTTCATCGTAAGTGGAAATGGCTACCAATTTAAAAGCAGACTAAGACAAATCCATGAAGGATAGTGTCCCCATGGTGGCTACCCCTGACACCTGGAATCAGGTAGCATAGCTTAAATGCCAACTGCCAAGGAGCAATGCTGGGAAAGTCCTACTGCCTTCCTCTCTTTATGACCTCCCTAATCTATCAGGGTAGACACTGAATGACACAGAAGGTTAAGCTAGATGGCCCTTTGGGGTTCTTTATTTTTTATGCTACAGTAAGAAAGATAGAACCATTGGCATATATGATCGTCTTTGCCAGGGAATGGAGACTTCTCAGAAGCTGTTGATAGGAAAATAATAATTGGGCTATGCAAGTAATTTTAAAAGCAGGAATGTACATTCAGCCTGTTACTGGCTAGAAAGGAGTTTATTGCTCCTCTCAGGAAGCAACACATGCTGAAGTCCATAGGTTCTAAGAATAAAGGAGTCAATGAGAAGATTATGGTCAGGAAATTTACTGATGTTATAGCTGACAGGGATGTGTAAAGGGCACCATTCAGGGAACAGAACATTTTGTTTCTTCTACAGATTGCATCAATATAGTTACTATGGCAGTGGCCTGGCTGTTTTCCAGAAGTTAATCTTCAACACCAGAAGCATTTTATGGTGTTCCAGATATATATCTTGCATACATATATACAGGTCTATTTCATCCATAACACCTAGCTGCTTCCAGTTTTAGAGGTTAAATTTTAAAAAACAGCTGACCCACCCCAGAAAACCAATTGGTGCCATCCAGAAAAGAAACAAAAAGTTCTAGATTCCCCCAGAATGTTTCATTCCTGAGATTGCAGGAATGTACATACCTAACAGTTAGAATGACTACTCCTAATGGTGTATTATAATTTCCTTGGGAGGGGGATTGTGTTGAAAACTTGTCATATTTTTCTACCAGCTGCTGCATTTTATTGTCTTCCCAAAGTTTGTATGTGTCTACCAATTAGAGCAGAGAGGGTTAGTTATATTTGCAAGGAATCTGGTTTGTTTGACTAGTTGATTGTCTGTATTTTAAAAATATCTGTATGCTTTTGTATTTCTGACTTTCTGGGAGAAACCTGCTTTCGGATCAACCATCTACTGCATGTCTGAGCTGTAAATTAATGTTTATCTGGAAAGCAGATGAAGAGGAAATAACTTTTTGCAATTTTACATCATATAATTACTTTGATGAAAATGGTTTGGTTTGGTTTCTAATCAAAGGGCTGATAGTTTTCTAGGGCTGAAGGTCCCAGGATTCAATCACAATTTCAGCCAACAAAGTAGAGGTAGAATCTTAGGATAACTGGGCACTACGCATCTTGTGAAAAACATAATCCTTTGATGGGTAAGGGTAATCTATAACCTAGAGAGAAGTTAACATGTTCTGAGGAATATGACTATGGGCTTAAGCAAAATACCAAAAATTTGAAAAAGTATAAACCTTTGGATTCTGAAAACACATTCCCTCACACTGTGGTGTCACAGCAAGAAGAAAGGCTTACCATACAGTGAGAGATTCAGGAATTTGTAATGTAGGGACTTCAAATATTAGATGGAACAGAACCTGGAGATTTTTGCAGTTTTCACTTTCTGAGGTAGAATCTACAACAGGACCTCTACAGACAACTGAAATTGTAAATGCTAACTGTGCACACAGTTCCCATGGAGATGAAGACAAACTACATCTAGTGCCTCAAAGAAGTCCATAATCAGTACAGGGTTCAAACCTGTAGGAAATCTTCATTCCATAGAATCATTTGATTCTTCCTTTCATTCTTGGGCGTTTTCCCTTTGGAATGAGATCTAACCTCTTGCTGTTAGAGCTCTGTCTAATCATAGAGTCTGATGCTCTGAACCCAAGAAACTATGATAACAGTTTTAAGTTCTAGGGACTGATCATGAGGACCAAAGATATCAGAACTCAGCTTACAGTTGAGAAACCAACAAACCAGACTTTTGAATTGTTTTAGAGTGACATTGTAACAAGCCATGTCCTGCTTTAGATAAATTGTCTGAGGCACTGACAATGGCCCTCAAGAAAAAGCAGAGCTGTTCAGTTTAGTAATGTTCTGGAAATGCTGGCAAGTATCCACTAAAAACAGATCTTCTCTCTGTAAGCAGATAAGGCATAGAGAATATTCGTTATATGGGGAAGTTTATTGTCTTAATTGGTATATTTCCAAAAGTAAGCCTTCAGGACCATATAATACCCTAAGGTAAAAAAAAAAACCTGAAAAATATATTTTAATAAAATAATAATAAAAAATAATTAAAAGATATGGAAATGAAGTACAAAAATAGATTAGTGAAGTCAAGAGAACACTTCAGTTAAAACAATTGCTGCACACTGCAGGAAAGACTTTCCTTATGATTATTTGAGTAGATGCAGAAACCCATGTATATGAAGTACAGAGATCAAGAAGAAATATAACTAACAATAACAAACAATTATTTGAGAGCCTAGAAAATGCTACCTGTCTGAGCATGTTAAACCTGAATTTCTCTAAGAATGAAATCCAGTTATTAGTATCATACATGCATAACTTTAAGGATTTGGGCTATTTTTAAACATTTCATCAAATTTAATAGGTAGGGGAAAAAATCAAACTTACCCCTGTTGGCTTATATATTATGTTGTCCCCACTAAACCGTTCTGGTTTGGAAACAGACCTAAGGATTATAATATTTTTTTCTTAACTATTCTAGGGTAGGAAACAAGAAAATAAATACTGGTACAGCAGCATATCATTAGTCATTGGCTCAAATCACACACCACACTAAATTATCATTTGTTTTAGCCATTATTTATTGGCTAAGGTAAAAACAAAACTGTTTGGTTTTAATTGCTTTTTCTGTCCTGCCCAAGCCTATATTTATTCAAACAACACATCTTGATTTGATCATCATGCTAAGTCATAGCTATAGTGAGCAAACTAGCAAATAATAGTTTAAAACTCTGGTTTCTTATCTGAAAACATAGTTGCTTCTCAATTTCTCCAATTCTCTGCCTCAAACCATTCTAGGATAATTTGCCAAGGCTGAATGGGTATAAGGAGGATAAGGGTAATAGGGCTGCTCCTTTAAGGAAAAAGTACTTTCAAGCCCAGATTTTGAAAAAAAAAATTTTTTTTTTAAGAACAGCTTTCATACCATTGTTAAAGTAAGGATGCTAAAGAAAAATACATTCTGGAATCAAGTGTTAATTCATAAGGATCAAAGTTAAACCTTCAATAACCAATATACTGTTATATATCAACCTATCGCAATGAATTCTTATACAAAAATCTTACCCAAATGCAGCTAGGAAGACACAGTCATCGTGCAAAATATTTGCTACTCTTTCAAAGTTCCTGTAATTATCAGAGTCTTTTTGTTCAAAATATCCAATAATGTTTCTTTTACTGCGCTGTAATACATAAAACATATATAATGGCATTCTAACTCACCCTTAAAATAAATTAACATTTTCATTAATCCTGTAGTCCTTGAAACAGAAGAACAGATAATGCCAATTTGGTTCAAATATAATATTAGCTTAAAATCATAGTCTCATGTAAGTACAGGATCTCATGTAGACCCCTGCAACAAAGAAAAAAATGTGCAGAGAATCTTGAAGGTATTAATCTTCCTAATAATAGTTATTCTAACCATTTTGATTAAGAACCTATGTTTTCACGAAAATGAATTCTCTAATGTACTTGTGTAGAAGTTATCACCTATCTCTATTCATGTGGTTAACGGTCACTATAGAATTTATGCAACCGTAGCTAAAAGTCTATTCAAATGTATTCTTGGGCTTGAAACACACACAAACTTCAAGATTCTCTGCACATCTATTCTTGTTTACAGGAGCCCATGGTAGATTATAACAATTATTTGTTAAACATATACCCCTTTCCTTTTGGAAATCAAGGCACCATATCTAGTACTCCCTTTTCTAATTTCTCCACAACAGAGGAAGCAAGTTGGACTGAAAGGGAGTGATTGACTCAAAGACACCCAGAAAGTTTTGATCACTGATGGTAAACTTAAACCTGGCTCACCCCTGCAATCCCAATCCAATCCTTTATCCACTATGCCGTGCTGGCTGAAGTTATAATGCTATAATTTATATGATTTATAAGTCTGTTTTCATGGCAATGTAGATCACATGAGTAAAATTATCCTACAATATTTGCAATGCTATCAAGGAAGCCATTAAAATTAACATATTATTTTCTAAAAATATGGAGTATTATAACAGTTTTCATTAAATGAGAAAATGGGTATTACTTGCTAACTAGCAAACATACATTTTCCAATTTATTAATGGCAATCAACATACCACAATTACACATACAAACTCACATCAAGAGAATTAATTTCTTCCAAGCTTAGTACTTCTCTAATAGGATTGCTTTTCTGTTGCCGGATATAATCTGCTATTGCTGTCACTGATCTCTGACCCCGATACTCTCTCTTCATCATCATTCCATTCCGGAACAACTTCAAGGTTGGGTATTTACTTATCCTATACCTTTGAGCTATGTCAGCTGAAAAACAATTACAGAGTATTTGAAAATATGCACATTCAAGTGTACATAGTTTGCATTTCTTTATGTTTATATACAGTTAAGTAGTGAATCAAAATTACAGTGGGGCAAAAAAGTATTTAGTCAGCCACCAATTGTGCAAGTTCTCCCACTTAAAAAGATGAGAGAGGCCAAATCAGACAATGTGATTTTCTGGATTTTTTTCCCCATTTTGTCTCTCATAGTTGAGGTATACCTATGATGAAAATTACAGGCCTCTCTCATCTTTAGGCCTCTCTCATCTTTTTAAGTGGGAGAAAGGCCTCTCTCATCTTTTTAAGTGGGAGAAAGGCCTCTCTCATCTTTTTAAGTGGGAGAAAGGCCTCTCTCATCTTTTTAAGTGGGAGAAAGGCCTCTCTCATCTTTTTAAGTGGGAGAAAGGCCTCTCTCATCTTTTTAAGTGGGAGAAAGGCCTCTCTCATCTTTTTAAGTGGGAGAAAGGCCTCTCTCATCTTTTTAAGTGGGAGAAAGGCCTCTCTCATCTTTTTAAGTGGGAGAAAGGCCTCTCTCATCTTTTTAAGTGGGAGAAAGGCCTCTCTCATCTTTTTAAGTGGGAGAAAGGCCTCTCTCATCTTTTTAAGTGGGAGAAAGGCCTCTCTCATCTTTTTAAGTGGGAGAACTTGCACAATTGGTGGCTGACTAAATACTTTTTTGCCCCACTGTATATCTCCCATCTTTTAAATAAGGTAATGGCAGAAGTAATTAAATTTTGTGCCTTTAACCCCACTTATTTACAGACTATCAGTCTATTAAAACCTCAATTATTTTTTCTACAATGCATAATTTTTCTACTTGGTCACTTCAAAACTCAGATCCCATTTTTTATATTTGTATTCTTGAACTATAAAAAAAAATGTTAATAAAATGCCCTAGTGAAAGAAATACCTTCGGGCATTGATCCTAATACCAGAATAATAATGTGCTTTTTACTAATCGTAGAAAGACAAGAATTGTGCTCTAAAGTAATGTACATGAAGAATGTTACTTGGATTTTCTCCCTAATGCATCAAAAATATTTTGGGACAACCCTATGAAAGTTAACCCAACCAGTCTTTCCCTTTGTAAGATCACTGATATTATTGTGGATTTTAATTTTGTAAGCCACCTGGAGTCACTGTGTGTGAGTTGGGTGGCCATATAAGTTTAATAAATAAATATTGATTGTGTTTGTAGTCACTGCAGGGGTGGGGGGTTGATGTGCTTTTTGTATTGTGGATTTTAATTCCATAAGCCTCCTCCAGTGGGGCAGCCATATAAATTTGTTTAATAAATAAGAATAAGAAATAGAGTCAAATGTTTTACTTATTTTTCAGTTCATGATGATAAAGTTCATTGGATTAAATAACTCCTTTAGAGCAGTGTTTCTCAACCTTTTTTTGCCCATGGCCCCCTTCTGATCTTGTTTTTCTCTTGTGGCCCCTGTCCAGGTCCCATTATCAGATACAGATATGGGCCAGTAACGAGTGTGTTTTCTGGTGTCAACAAGACAGTATTTGCAGTATAATACTCTGCTTTTCTGTGGTGCCCTCAGCATGTGCCCTGGCCCCCCGTTACATGTTTTTCACCCGTGGCCCCCTTGAAATATCCTATGGCCCCTGGTTGAGAACCACTGCTTTAGAGAACTAATTCATAGTGCTGAGTCACTGAATACAACTAAGAATGGCAATCTCGTACAACTGTTATAGGTGCTCTATTTGTGGGTTTTTGATTTTATTTTTGTTTTGAGAAAGTTTGCCTGCAGATCCTGCCAAGTAAGATTGCTTGGGCTAAATTAACACAAGGCAATAAGATCCAAACTTGGCTGGTCTTAGAGCAAACCTACTGAAATGAATGAGAATTGAGTTGGTTAAATCTGAAATCTTCATATAAATTTATGTATCAGATATACTTAGAAGAAATATATTGACATCAGCATGACTAAATGTAAGCCACAAATCTGAATTTAGTGATGGCCATTCACATAAGATATTTTGTTATATATTCCATGATTCATATCCATGTGAATAGATTTTCAAATATAGTTCAAATATAATTTCCAAGCTGAAAGCAAAACTTGCATTCATACTATTAAGGAAGTTGCTATTCATAATCCTGCATACTGTAAAGAAAGTTGCTGTTCATAATCTTGCATACTGTACAGGAAATTGCTGTTCATAATCCCATCTCAAACTGCACCTTGTGTTATTTCATATAAATAGTGCTCAAGGCAATGAATTACTTGATATTCTCAGAGACCTTATAGAGAATCCTAAAATGCTATTGAATGATCAGCACGCAGTCAACAGATAATAAGTAGAGTCTTCCATAGCAATATAAAAAATGCAAAAGCATTAAATGTTCATGTTCTAATTAATCCATAAATAAAAAGAGAACATCAAGTACTTTCATTAAACCATGATACAAGTACAGCCAACACAGAAGTACTAGAACATACTAGTTTAACACACACACACACACACACAGAAATGCAAATACAATGTTATTACTATTTTATTCAACATTTATTGTCATTCCAGTTTAAAAATTCTTTCAGTTTAAAAATATATTTAGGCATTCCCTGCTAATTTCCTAATCACAACTTCTTGAAAACAGTTATATGAACATGTATATGTATATGTATGAATGACAGTGAGCAGAACATTGGAGTTACCATGAAGCCATTCTACACTGGACAGAGAGTATCCTCACCTGGATTACTGCTCCCATTCATTCAGATGGACAGGACCATTTATTTTTGCTGTGCTTGAGAAACTTAGGAAGGAATACCCTCCCTCCAATTTAGGACTAATAGGCAAAGAAAAGAAGCTCCAGTAAGATAAGATTAAAGAAGAAAGCACTGACACTTTCTTTTCAGCAAGGAGCTCACCACAAAAGGGTATGAATATTTGCATATAAACAGAGAGCAAACCCCATTCCATTCTAGAACTGAAGATGTTACCTAGCCAGGTAATGAAATGTTTGCAAGAAAAGAACCAAGCTCAGAGAACCCCAAGGACTCCACAGTTCAACCCTGAGCTACACCTCTATTGTATTGTCTCTATTTCGCCTCTGATACTGATCCTAACAATAAACCAATTTCTGCTTCTTTGTAATTGTGTCCTGGTCTCCAGTTCAAATGTATCCCTGAGAAATTCTCCTTCAATATAAAAAAGTTATACGAGTATTTTATTTTTATAGCTTATAACCCAAAGACATACACACTAAATTATAGTTCTACATTAGATAAATGAGCCCCTCATATATAAATTTCTCATCCTCGAGCTGCCATACAGGAAATATCAGGAGCTTCTCTGTTCTTTCTTGAATTAAATAGTTTTCTTGTTACATGCAAACTGAAATGCATTTTTGTAACTTTAAACTCTTATAGATTTAATAAGCTAAGACTAAACCATGATTTATTCTGAGTTATCAAAGCAAAATAAAGCTGTTTTAATCTGAATTACTCTACTCCCTCTTATTTGGCTATATCAATACAGTCTAGCTAGCTCTGGCGCAGCAGCTTAATGACGCTGAAAGTTGCTGGCCAGAAATGGTCGACGCTTCAGCGGT